TATATTTTTTTTTTTTTTTTAATAATTAATTATTTATGAAATATTTACAAACGTATCAATCGTATCTTGTAATACTTTACGAATCTTGAATTGATTATTAAAGTTTGATTTGTTGTTTTGACAAAGAAAAAAAAAAGAAATATTAAATTTTTGGCTGATCATTTTTTTTCTTTTTAAGAAAAAGTAATCTTCTTTTGATTTATTGATTATATGTATATATATATTGTATATACTGTATATATAATATAACAATTATAACTATTATAACTATTATAATCTCTCGATTAGATAGAACAATTCCAATTAAAAAAAAAAATTTTATTATACCAAAATTATACCAAAATTACACCCATTAACTTTTCGGATCATATCCTTTTTTCTATAAATTATATATTTTTATATATATATATAATATATACAAATTAATAAATGATCTTTGTTCCTTTTTAACATAAATCGAAAATGTAAGTATTTTAAAATTAATCTTTCCTTTTTTTTTTGTCGCACAAACAAAAAAATTCTTTGTTATTTAAAAAAAGTACAAATCAATTTTATTAGCCTTTGTCATTTCAAATTCCCATTTAGCCGAGTTCCAATCTTCATCATCAATTAAATTAATCTTATCATTAACTTGATTTTTATAGGTGATTATATTTGGATTTATATTAACTTGATAACGGTCGCGAATCGTTGAAAGTATGTCATTAAATGATGATTCTTTTGAAACACGGAGTGAATGTTTTTTGTTTATAAAATTACAAGTTAGAAGAATTACCTAAAATTAAAAAGGAGAAAATTTATCATATGATATAAACATAAATAAATCAAAAATCAAAAATTAATTTACCTCTTTACCATCACCAGATATAATACTATTAAATGATTCTATTTGATCCTTCTCATCCCCAATATAAATAAGTGAATTAATTTCTGAAACTTGAACGATTTGTTCATTTAGTTTTGGCTGATTTTGTATCTAATCCAATTAAAGTATAAATCGTTAAAAAAAAATTTTTTTTTCTTATTGATAGGGTTTATCATGTCCATACCTGATGTATAATTAATTGCCTAACTCCTTCTTCAAAGAATCTTAAAGTATTAATATCAACCCACTCAGATGGCGTAAATACAAAAATGTTTTCCCCTTCCGTTACATTTGTAGGATCATTTGAAATTGGAATACGAGTCCCAATCAATCCTTTAGGATTATTGTAATACTAAAAATAATAAAAAAATAAAAAAAATAATAATAAAAATAGAATTGATTTTTAATAAGATGACAAATCAATAAATAAAAAACATTTATTAAATTATTATTTTTTTTTTTACTTGCATATCTGACAAAATCCTTTTTTAACTCCAAATAAATGTTACGATTTGAAGCTAATTGGAATTTTCGAACTTGGTTTAAGGGTATGATGATTTCTGTGTAATGTATAGTTATACATAATTCTAATGTAATATATCTTAAAACTAAAACACTTTTTTGACTCATTTTTTCATTATTAATTATTCTAAAATCGATTTTTAGAAATTGATGATGCCAAGTTTTTAAAGAAGAATTAGATATACTCCTATTTGATGAGGATACATCATGATATTCATTTTCTTTTTTTTTCAAAAAAAAAAAAAAAGGTTATATTATAAATTAAATTAAGCGTTTAAAATAATTTTTGTTTATCTCTCTCTTTTTTTTTAAAGACGAAGAAAATTAACCCTCACCATTTTTATCATCATAAAAATCATCATTTAAAGGGCTATCTAGAAGACTACCTCCTTCGAAACTCATTATATTACAAGAACCTTTCGTTTTATGATATTTAGTGGGAGAGAAAATTTTTTGTTAGCCCCAGGAGAAAATATTTGTATACATGTGCGTGTAACATACTTAGTGTGACATATCATGTGACAAGATGTTAGCCACCATTTAACTTGGATTAATTTTTTTATTTTTTATATCATTATATATAAATGTTTTGTGCCTTCAGTCTTCATCATAGTATGTATTTGTTTGGATTCTTTCCAAGTTCAAGTGAAAATGAATATAAAGTAATATAGTGCTTACTTTCCCAACTTTTATTGCTTCTTCTTCATCATTATCTATTATCTATTGTACTATATATTAGTAAGAATTTATAGAATAATATATTGAGGTCATATTATATTATTATACATTTAAGAAAATAAAATTGCGACCACTATGTCTATTGGTAAACTATTAAACAATTACACGGATTTAAATTTACTATTTAAGTATCATATCATTTTCGTCATTTATTATCCTTTTTGGTGTTACTCCACTAAGCTTTTGTCCTGTTTCAATTCTGGTAGGTTGAGTTTTTTCAATTTATTGACTTTTTTGACTTTTTTGTGCGACATGAAATACTGTAATTCGAAATTTTATCTCCTATCAGATTATCGGAATCGTATTCAATTTTATGTATATTATAATTATTGACTTTCTTAACCGCATACGGATAATTCGGTAATTTGGTAAGTTAAAGTCTTCATAAGACTGTTTTTATCATTATTGAATAAATTCTTTTGAATTTTCGAAATAAAATAAATAAAATAAATACTGATTCCATTTTTTCTATTTCGGAGACTATTTTATGTGATGGAAAAAGTTCTCGGTTGGTACATCAGTTTTGATAAATTTTGATATGTACTGACTCGGATCTGGCTAAAGATGGAAGAGATGGAGAAGCTCCAAAATCAACATCTTCCTTTTTTTTTACAGTAGGGTCCAGTATTCCGCATCATACTCTCGAGTATAATATATTTTAGTAATCATATAGGGTGATGCTAGGAAAAGGGACCAAATCGACAAAAAATTTTTTTTAAAAATAACAAATGTTCCGGATCAGATGATCAGATCTACATATATTTTACTTATAAACCCTTTTTTTTGAAAAAAATATCAATTTGGTCCCTTTTCCAGCACTCACCCCAATTTATTGTCTTGATTCAAATCTCGGTACACGATTAACCGTAATTTCTTGATCGATACTCATTTTAGTAGAACGTTTAGCTTCAAAATTAATGTCTTCGGCAAAACTTTCGGAAGGAAGGGCCCCTTCAGCATCATTTCCAAAAAGACAATTCCTTCTGCTGGAGCAACTTCAGGAAAAGAAACATATGTTGTAGACCAAAAAATATATGGTTATAGTTTATTTAGGCACATTTGTTTATGCATGCCTGATAAATAGCTTTAGTTTCTTCATCATATTTTTTTTTAATAATAGCAAATGTCCGAAGAACTAGTTCCAGGATATGTTTTTTTATAATGATGGTAATTACAAAATCAAAGAAAATAATAAAAATGTGTATATTTATTGAACTTATAAATCTTATGGCTGTCTTAAGTAAGGTTTGTTGCCGTAAGTAACGATTATTATATCGAATTACAACCTTTAGCGGTTGTAATATTATAAACGTAAGCTGTAAATTGGCTGTAAATACTACACTATTGTGGTTAGCTAAAAGATGGTAATTCTGATTTACAACCATTATCTGTTATATTTACTTTAACTATTTACGTAGGCCAACACTAGCCTTAAGCTTAAAACAGAACTGATTTCTTGCATTTCGAAATTATATATAATTCATTATCATTTTTGCTCTTTGTTTTTCCGTACGTAAGGTATCTTAATTGCCGATCCACGAATGAATCGGACCTAGTGATCGGCAAAATCAAATCTCCACTTCCAAAAAAAGTAAAGTCGGTCAATTTTTAGCCAAACCAATTAAATTTTTTTTTTAAAAAAACTTAGAGATTAAATCTATTTTGTAAAAATATAAATT